CCCTTTCGTCGTTTGTAATTGAACGACGCTTTCCCGACTTCAGTTTCGGCAATCCTGGTCTGAAGTAACCTTGCTATCCATCTTCGGATGGTTGGCTGAACGTTAATTTTCCTAAGAGCTCTGTCGACTCCTAAATGGGAGGCGTTATCGAAGGCCTCCTCGATATCGAGGAAGGCACAGAGCACCACCTCATCACACTTAAAGGCTCCTTGTATTTCCTCCGTTAGGGCATACAGCGCAGTATCCGTGGATCTCCCCACCCTGTACGCGTGCTGGTTGGAATGCAGAGGGGTTTGTTTTAGAGTGCTTAATCTGATTTCATGATCAAAATTTTCTCCATTGCCTTTAACATAAAGGATGAGAGACTTATCGGCCTGAGTTACTTGGCAAGAGAGTAATCCCTCTTACCTACCTTCGGGATAAAGATAACCCTGGCCCTCTGCCACACCTTGGGAATGTGAGCCAGTGCTAGACTGACCCTCATAATGTCCACAAGATGTGGAAGTAAGAGCTCCCCGCCCTGCTTTAGCAGCGCCGGACATACACCATCCACCCCAGGGGCCTTGTACCGTTCGAAGGAGTGCGGAGCCCACCGCACTGTTTGCCGGTTTATAAGGCTTTTAGCCAACTTCCATTCCGGTGGGGATGGCCTGAACGCACGGAACAACGTATACCCGGCAGTGGGAATGGCGTCCGGAAAGTGGGCCGACAGCAGGGCGAGTGCCCTTTTCTGTTCAGTACCTGAAAAAGCCCCATTAGGTAGCCTAATAGCCAGCCTGGTCCCTGTGTTGTCTCTCGCTAAGGCTTTATGCAGCCTAGCAGCTGCAGGAGTAGATGCTATGTTCTCACAAAAGGTCCTGAAGCTGCTACGCTTGGCCTTCCTAATCTCCTTATTGTATTTTGTCAGACTGACGGAGTACTCCTCCCAGTCCCCGGTGCGATTTGCCCTGTTGAAAAGTCTCCGCACCTCTTTCCTAAGAACTGAGAGTTCCCTTTGGCTTTGACACGGGACAGCTTGGAGGTAAAGGCATCCAGAATAGTGCCGTTCAGCTTGTTGACCCTTTCCTCTAACTCCATACAATCCACCTCTCTATCTTGTGCCTCTTTTGTGGTTAGGTTCAACCTCAGTACCTCTTCGTATTTACCCCAGTCTGTTTTCCTGGGGATTCTCTTTGGGTGACCTGTCAGAACCTCAGCTCCCAGTGCAAATCGGATAATCCTGTGATCCGACAGTGAGGGCTTGGTTGAGACACGCCACTGAACGATCAGAGGACTGGTCAGTCTGTTGCTGATATTTAGCGTGTAGCACGCGCCTTAGAGCTCAATACGGCATATGCATCACACAAACGGTTTGTCTAACACGACGAGGCGGTTTAAAGGTTTGAACCGCTTGAAGGATGTTTGAAGAAGAATCAAAAATTTTAGATTTTCTGGCCGCAATTTTGAGGTTTTACTCAACTGTTTGTACGGTGCATGGCAGAAATGCCCCGCATGCAGCAAAATGGAAGAATACCAAGCTTTTTACAAATACATATGTAATGTTAAATAAAATAAATAAACAAACAAGTACAAAAGTAAAAAAAAAAATCTTATTGACATTTTATGTCCAAAAGTAGTTCGTTACAAGTTAGTTGCCATCAAATGCAGACTTGACTATTTCGCGGCCATCGCCATAGAAAATATAGTTAGCTGTCCTCAAACCGCGAATTTAACTTATAGTTAGAAACATTTCCTGCAGGGTATGTATATAAATATATACCCTGTGTAGTACGTTTAGACCCAGCACGAATTTAACATGGCAATGTCCTAGGAAGTGTCAATTGCCCCCCGCTGCATCCCTTTTTCGATAGTTCCGAACCAGTTTTAAAATCGCCAGACGAAAGAAAAAAGTATTATGATTTTTCAATCTATTCGGTTCTTCTGTGTGCGCTTTTAAATAATTTTCAAAGAAATGTTTTTTTCAATTTGAAATTAAATTTGTTTGAACGATTGTAAGAAATGTACGTTTACATACCTTTGACTTTGCAGAGGTGCTTGCTGTTATTGGTTAGATTCCAGACGGCCCCAAGATGTTAATGATGTTAACACAAAGTTTTGTTTTGTATTACCAAACTATGAAATAGCATCTGCGAAGTGCAGAATGAAAGTGCATTTGAACGAAAAAGCCGCTAAACACATATCTATGTAAACTAAACAAGCCCCACGCTGCATCCCTTTCTCGATAGTTTCGAACTATTTCTAAATTCGACAGATAAGATCTAGTTCGTTCTGCGTCCGTTTTTCTATAATTCCGAATCAGCTCTAAATTCGTCACTTTAGATATAGATTTCCAATAAAAAAAGAGAAATAAAATAGTTTTTTTAAGAGTCCCACATTTCGCTGATTTTGAACTGGTGAGGATCTACTTACTATCGGACTGGACCGTTTTTGGCGATGAAGACCTTGTATGGAACTAGAAATTTGATTCAATAGTCCACGGTTTTCCTGCAGGGTACAGGCATATATCTACATATGTATGTATGTATATCCATATGTACGAAGATACAAATGTACATAGCATATATGCAGAGAACGTTGAATGTGCATATGAACCGCTTATTTTTAAAGTGGCATAAGTCACTTCGTACCTCTTGCACTTAAATGACCGCTTAATTGTAACCAAATGCAAATATTTTTATAAAGCAATCGCATTTCTGGATAGTATATTTCAGGACGAATGGGATTCGGATTGAGCCAAGAGCTTGTGTGAGCAAATCCAATTTTTGGCAGCCAATGTCAGTTACGCGGTTTTGTACTTTAAACGACGATATATGTACACGATTGTTACCAGTGTTGCCACACATACATACGCTTTTCCTACGAAAACTGGTACGTTTATTTCCATTTGGTAGGCTAGTAGGCTAGATTGGATTTTGGTAGGTTTCACATTGTGGTAGGTGCCACATTGAGCAACTGCACCGGCTGGTCCGAGTTGCCATAACAGTAGCTATGCGCACCTTGGTGTCATTACACTCATTCTTCCTTTGTTTATTCTGACTGAAAAAAGGTCTGCTGGAGCGCCGTACGGCTGCCGGGAGTACTGTGGCAGGCATACTTGGACCAGGATTCAAAGAAATTCTGCCAATCGACACTGGCGGAAGTCTTCGTAGAAGAGCAAATGTGTGTGCGGTATTATGTCGGATAGCCAGGCAGGGTCAAAGGCTTGTGGACAGCTCTGTAACTCTTTTGAACTACCTGGGAGCCCATAATAGCAAAACGCTGTGGTGGATTCCGGGACATGAATGGTTTAAACGTAACGACAGGACTAACTTCACTTAAAAAAAAATTTTTAAAAACTTAAAAAAATTTTGCTAGGAAAAAATAATTGTCCGTGGCAACACTGACCACCACTTGGTTGTCGATCGGCTATATTCATCGGATCTGTTTGCTATTTGCAAATATTTCCCATTTGTTTTGGAGAAGTGGGGTGGGCAAGCGGTTAGCTAGCGAGTAGTAGTGCTTGCTCGTTTTCGTGGCCTCAACTTGATTCATTCGCTTTGCTCGTAGTATCAAGCCGAACTGGCGAGGTGAATTAGCTTTTGTAACTTACAATCGAAGTGAGCGCGTTCGCGGTTGTAATCAGAGTGGCCTGGCCATTGTCGTCGTCATCATCAATTTGGTTATCGCATTCATTGTGTGACTTGGATTTTTTTAACGCGCATCCGCTCCTCAGCGCTACTTTCAGGTGCAAAAGAGGCATTTTCTTTTTAATAATTTGTAAAGTGTGTTGTGACCTCACGCACTTTCCTCCCCAACCTGCAAAGCTGCAAATGCTGATGAGCAATCGAGCTACTAGATAGGTGACAAAAGTTGACAGAAGAGAAACGGCGACATTGATTTCCATTAAGACGCATTGGTTTGGCAATGTGCTCAGAATCTCGGAAGAGGAAGTGTAAATAAAGATATAAATCGTTAAATTGTTGTTTTTTGATTGTGGAAAATATGGAAATTTAATTAATGTGCAAAAAACCAATGGAAAAGTTAAGCCAAAAACGTAAATGAAAAGTTCGTAGCAGATATAAAGCGCGAAGGTATGTGCGTGTGTGTGTGGAAGGAGAATTGAATGTGGAAAAGTAGGTGGTGGAGCCAGTAGCACACGTCTATTATAGCAGCAAAAGAGGGAGAGAGAGCGACACGAAGAAGAAGAAGAAGCAGAAGCAACGTGCTCCTGCTCTGACAAATGTGGTGGGCTTTTTAATATCTCTCTCGCTAATTGTTGACTACAAGTGTGGTGAATTAATTGGTCGTCCAAAACAAAACAAAAACAAAACAACAACAAAAGTCCAACAAAAGTTCAACAACAAAACAAGAACTATCTGCATTATCGTGTTAATACACCACATTTGCTGGGGACTGTGGGAGTTTGTTAAACAACATACATAGATACATATGTATACATATATACGAAAGAGCACGAGTATCTTATCGGTCCGCCTACTGCCCGCTTCGCTGCCCGACACGGTGCTGATTCACGATGCGTATCTTTTGTTGTTATTCCGTTGCGTCTGAGTTTGAGAGTTGAGATACTTTCGCAAAAACAACTCAAATTCTAATAGCAAAATTTAAAAACATAAAAAATCTGCGCAAATCCCTTCGCCCTTGGGAATTAACGTTGTCCTTTCGCAAGAACGTACCTACGTCGTCATTCTCGAAAAGTTCACCTTTTACGATATGAATTAGAGAGAAGGAAAAGTAATTAAGATAGTTTTGTGCTAAAATAAATAAATCCGATTTTATGCTATTGTGTTGTGTAAAGTGATTTGTTTGATACTAAAAAAAATATTTTTATATGCATTGCATGTGTGAACATACATACATACATAATACACTGTTTATTTGGAATATTTGAAAACTTTAAACTGCAGCTTAATTTGACAAAATACAACAGTTTCGCCGAATGTTTTTTACTAAACTAAAGGTAAGCTACGAGTTCGTCGTTTTTTGAAAACATTATTAAACATTTACATACATACAAACAAACATACATACTGGGAATGTCCATCCCCCGGGATCCCGGTGTTCTTGAGGTCCCGAAAATCCCGGGTTTGGGATCCCGAAAAACTTGGGATATCGAATTGATAGTAAAAACTTGTTTATGAATTTTGAAGTACGATTTTTGTAAAATGCCGCCTGAGCCTTTTTTGGAGAAGATACTCATAGCGTCGCTAATCTATTTAAGCGAAACAGAGAGTTTTACGTAATTTTTTAAATCAATCTACTCAAATCGAATCGACGTGCTGGTAAAAGAAGTTCAAATATTTTGTAGTGGAGGAGATAGGGGTCATTAACTACATTTTGACAGTTGAGCCTAAAAGTGGTGAGACCGAAAGATGTTTTTCATCAGCAGGTTTTGTATGTAGTAACAAGTTCAGCTCAAGATTAGAAGACCCCACTTTAAATACTTTACTTACGTACACATTTGCAATAATAACAACACCGGCACAAAAAAAGGGCTTGTGCTTCTAACCAGACCCACCTACAGACGTGAAATCCGTTTGACTCGTACACCCTCAAAATTTCGAGTTAATCGCGAAAAAATTACAAAAAAAATCGCCATTTCTATATCGATGGCTGAGTTGAAGATCGACCTATCTCGGCAGCCAGTTCGAAAACACCCTATCTCAGAAAAATTTTCAACAACCCTCTATCTCAGAAAACTTTTCAAGAACGCCCTAATTCAGAATTTGATTGAAGAACGTCCTATCTCAGCTGCCGATTGAAAAACGCCCTATCTCAGCTTATTTTCAATGTATTTTCGTTTGAGATAGGGCGTTTTGGAACCGAATTATTATTATTACACTGTACAGCATTGGTTCGGTATTGAACCAAACCAACTTCTTTTTAGAGACTGAGTCTTAAGTAAAACGGTGATTTCTCCGTTTTTCGAATTTAGCCTCCGAAATCGAGATATGGGCCTTCGAAGTTCGAAATTGGACCTTTGGTAAAAAATTATTTTTAATTATTGTATGTAAAAAACTAAAAAAGTAAAAATAAAAATATGGTCCACCTTTTGCTCTTATATAAATGGTATAAAACTTTTTTTGTCAAAGCATATATTATAGGTGCTATAAGCGTTCAAAGGTCAGGTCTTCGAAAATTTAAAAACAATTTTTTCAGAAAATTTTGAACCTGACCTTTGACCCCATATAGCACCCGTAATTTAATTTGCACAAAAAAAATTACACACCACATAAATAAGAGCAAAAGGCGGTTAACGTCCATATTTTTATTTTTTTAGTTTTTTACACCCAAATCAAATCAAAAATATTTTTTTACCAAAGGTCCAATTTCGAACTTCGAAGGCCCATATGAGGTTCTGAAAGGATGTATTCGTCCACTAGCCTTTACGGACGTCTGGGCACTGAGACACACAGTACCGACGGTCAACGGTTGGGAAGGACCAGCGCTGTACACCAGAAGCGGTGATGACATCTCACCAACTCACAATTTCACCATCTTTCTCCCATGGAGTATAGAGAGAGGCCAGGAATATGCACTGGCTCTTCTGCGACCTTACAACGAAAGCCTGAATACATCATTCTGGAGAGTCAGGTCAAAAGTTGAGGTCAGCTACCTTAGGCTGAATGTGGCTGTCGACGAAGATTCCTTCAGTAGTACATGAAGGCCGAACTTCAGGCTCAAATACACGTACTGAGACGTTCTGGTAAAGCCATTGAAGCAGCGAACTCCTAGGGATGCTGTCCATAAGGCACCAACAGGAGTGGCAACAATCGACACAGAAATAGCTGTTGATGAGCGCCGATTAGAAGGGCCTACAACATCCGCGGCTGCTTTTGCAGTGGCAAAGGAAATATACAAGGTGGTCGACAAGCACCGCGGAGAAGGTCATAAGACCTCCGAGGCTGGTACTGCGACGACAGAGCCAGTCGGACGAGCAGCTCTACAGCCTTCCACCAGGGAGCTAGAGAAGCTGGCTGAAGGCTAGAACCTTCACTGCCCAGGCAGAGAACCGGAGGACCTAACTCTCTCAGAGGTAGATGAGCCGATGGTACAGAGGAAGAAATGAACACACCACTCATCAGAATCGCCCAGATTAACCTCCATCATGCGGTAGCTGCATCCGCTGGAGCATCTGGGCATTGTTTTACCCCAAGAGCCGTTTGTGTGCGAGGGTCACGGAGAGATTTACTAGGGCAATCTGGGACTTATCATGTGTTAACGCTAGAGCTAGTGTAAGGCTAGAGAAGGAGATTAATTACTTCTTCAGAGTTCCTAACTAGAGATCTGGTGGCAATTAAAATAATTGCAGATCTCTAAGGACAGACAAGAGAAGTCATATTTCGTAGGAGGTGACGCCATGCCACCGTTGGAAATAAGAAGACTGGTAGAGTATAGTGAGAAGCTACGCCTTCCATTGATTATTGCATGTGATGCCAACGCACACAACGTTCAGTGGGGCACCACTAACACCAATAAAAGAGATGAACTACTACTAGACTTTATACAAAGTAAAGAACTTAGCCTTTGCAATATAGGTTGTAAGCCTATATTTGTAACTAGGGTAAAGCAGGAAGTTCTGGATATTATTCCAGGGAACAGCTGGGCTGATAATTTGATCTCAGGCTGGAGGGTCTCCGAAGAGCTCTCGATGTCTGATCACGTAACCATACAGTTCTCCCTAGAGGCATCCATGACTAGAGGCATATCCATAAACGTAGAGAATTGGGTAAAGCGAAGGTGGAACTGGAGGCGAAGGTCGGCAGCTTAATTGATGCAATAACGAATGCTTATGCATCAAGCTGCCGGCTGACAACACAAATGGGTAAAATAAAAAAGAGAAACCCATGGTGGAACTCCAACCTCTCTGTTCGCCGGAAAGCGGTAGGGAAACTCTTTAACCTCGCAAAATGTACTGGGAAGTGGGATGACTACTTGTCAGCCCTAACCACCTTTTGGGCAGAGCCAATTTTCCAGAAGTAATTTTGAAAATGCCGTTGTTATACATTTAGAAAGCTAACCCAGCGGGAAAAGGTTAATGCAGTACAATTTTCTATTACGTAAGGATTGTCAACTATAATTGAGCGAAAACATGCATGCCAATGTCGCTAAGTAAATGAGTAATGTGCAGCCGAAGATTTTAAACCGAATCACATTGTCCTTATCTTTTCCCACTGGGATGTTTTTGTGATCGCATGTTGGTAAACCAGTTCACCTGTTGTTCGCTGCCTATGTACATACGTACATACATATGTAGATGCGCACGAGTGATTTAAAGACTAGCCTAAATGTGTAGAAAATTGTTAAGTCAGCACACAACAACAACTTCTCCATCAACTAAGAGAGGAGTAGTACATGTGTACGTATGTATGTATGTATGTATATCGTTAACATCAGCGATTGCTGGTAGCAGTGCTGCCAACTATTTTCGAGTAAACAATCCAGATTTTTATAAAACCCCGCTAGAAAAAAGCTAAATCCTACAAAACAAAACCAGAAAAAATACAGTGAATCAAACCAAAATGATTGATTTTTTTTAAATGTTCGTAATGTTTACGAGATAATTTCTTTTATTTATTTTTATTTTTTTATAAAAATACCGCCCAAGCTTTAGGCAAAACCACACAATTTTATACGGCGTTACCACGATTCGTAATTTGCTCTCTAATTCGTAATTCGCTCTCCCATTCGTCATTCGCCTTGCCAATTACCTTTCGAATTACGTAATTCGCTATTACAAATTTTGAGAGCGAATTACCTCATTTGTAGGTAAATCAGATCGAATTACTAAGCGAATGACGAACGAATCGGTGCCTTCTCTAATATTTATCGGAAATATATCGAAGTTTTCACCGGCCTGGCACCATTTGCTGGCACTTTTTCTACTTATAGAATAGTATTAATAAAATATTCTCTATAATATAAATTAAAATTGTAGATGATAACTTAAATTTTAGCTCCATCTTCGATATTTGCAGTACACAAGAACAAAAACTAGAGCTGCCAAACGAATTACTAATGTGTGTGTCGTGGAAACACGGTAATTCACGAATTACTTAGCGAATCACTTAGAGAGCGAATTTCGAATAGTGGAAACATCGTATTACTCTAATAAAGGGCAAGTTTCAAACCGCTAAAAAAACCCCTTTGATTTTTGAGATTTTTTTTTTTTGTGACGAATTTTTGCACTTTTTTCAATATAATCCAGAATTTCTTATTAAATAAAGGCAACAATATTTCAAAAAAGCAGCGCTAGTTTTTGTAAATTTCACTTGTTGTTATATAAAAACAAAAAAAAAAACGGAAAAGCAGTCTTAAAAAAAAAAATATCAAAAGTCACGCGATTTCTTAGCCGGTTGAAACTTAAGGCCAAAATACAATAGCGCAGTGGCAGTGGGGCAGTGACAGCTTTTAAAATCAGCTGTTACTGCTAATATTGGCAGTCACTGCCGCAGCAAATACAATACGGCGTTGTCAGTTACAGCTTTTTTTTTGACATTTCCTTTTGTTTGTTTACATTTTTGTTGTTGTCTTTTAGGCTTCAGTGACATGCACAGAAGTTGGCTGCATTTTATTTATGTCAAACTGAGCGGTACTGCCAGCTGCCACTGCTGTATTGTGAGTCGCTTCATTGGACACCACACTTTCTAAAAAAAAACAGCTGATTTCGAAAACCTGCCGCTGTCACTACCACTGCCACTGGGTTATTGTATTTTGGGCTTTACACTTCATTACTAAAATTGTATGGGCTATAAAACTGCATACCCATACAGATTACGTTGAAATTTTGATGAAAATTTGTTGAATTTTCCTAAATTTTGTATAGAGTTTGAAACTGTGATTTACGTCGTTTGGGTTAAAGCTTGGACGGTATTTTTATAGAAAAATAACAAACAAACTTTAGCCCGAAAAAAAATTACGATCATTTAAACAAATTAAGACGTGGTCATTATTTGAGTC